ATACTGGAGCAATCTGGAAAGTCAAATCTGTCTTAGATGAGGATTTAATTTGCCAATTTCTATTGTCATTAAGTGTCATTGGTCATGATTGAACTGATGGGTCAGTGCACGATAGAGATTAAATGACTTGAGATCTTCTTACGTTTGTTTACAGACTTTTCAGTCTGTCCACTGGAACATTCTGAGTTCATCAGTCTGTTCCAGTGGACAGACTAAAAACAGTGAAAGTTACAAAGTTAAAGCAACCTCATAATATTTTGCTATTTTGAATTCCTGCACTTATTGGTGGTGGTTAGCATGTTACTGGAGTAATTCATGCTCTTTGCAAGACGTATTTAAAATTCTTCCTCTACTGTAATTTTCGTTTGTTTTATAAATTGAATACAAACAATAAATGTAGTGCCAAATGAACTGACATTTTAATATCTATTTTTTATTAATTTCTCTCCAGACAGTTGTCCGTTGCCAAAAATCAAAATACTTTCTGTGAATGTGTTTGCTATTACATTTATTGCATTTTTTGTAAAGTGGGATAGTTCAGTTTTAATAAACATTTTAATAGTGGGAGTCTGCAAGTCTACCCTACCACAATTATAATTTAATGATTAGGCTTGAGCGTCTGTTGCATTGTAGGTATCCTCGTTATTATCTATCCAACCCGAGCATCAAATATTACCATTTTAGTTAATCAGCTGCCAGTGTTGTGCCTACATTTAGATCCAGAGCAATACGTCTCCAGGTATTTCTGAACCAGCTGATTATATATGAGGGAATCCTAATTTTTCATTCAGAGATCCACAAAATTGCCATGGAGAGATTAATGGTCTTTGCATAAATATAACTGACTTATCTAAGGTGCAGACAAGTGATGCTCTCACAGACTGGTTAGTTTAACAGTAAAATTCATCATTTGAGATTCTTTGGTGCTAACATATTTGCAGGAGCATTAAAGGCATCTAGTAGCCTTGTGGGTTCAAGCCTCATGTTGTATTTGAACTCACAGTCAAGGCTGACACGCCCAAATGCTGGGACTGTGCAACATTATTGGAAGGGCTATCCTTTGGATGAGATGTTAAACTGGGATCCTGTCTGCCTCTTCAGTTAAAAGATTTCATGGCGCTCTAATGTACCTTCAACAACAAATAACCTAACATGTTAAAGAAAAAAAGGACAATGTAAGACAGATACTGGTATTCCCTAGGTATTTATTTTAAAAATGTGTCTCCCTTTGTAAACAAATGTAGGTTAGCTTGTGCACCTATGTCAACAATGCAGTTAATAGTTTCTGTCCAATAGTTGCTTTTATGATTTCCTGTTTTTGACAGGTGTTTCAAATAGGGGTGTACGACATTGGACCATAATATGTAAAGTTGTAATTTGTTCTATTATAAACATGATATTCTACAGCAACTTTTTAAAAAATGTAATCTGGTTTTCCTTTAATCATTTCAAGTGCATCAATAATAAAATCTGTCAAAAAAGTTCCTTGTTATTTAATAGTGTCAAATAACATAGAGCTTTTGCAATGGTACTCAGAATATGGCCTGGGAACAACTTTGTGGTCCACTTATGGGCAGACTTACAGCTTCATGTGTCTCTAGATTTCCATTCATGGCCCGACTGTCTGCAGGATATTGCCAGAATTTGTATTTACTGCTGTTCCTTCCAGTCTTGCAATCCAGTGAGAAAACAGAAGGGAATGTTTTTCGGAGGTGGGTCTAACCCAAACATCCACAGGGCAAGCAAGAAAAGCTGTATTAAATTGATAGGATTTGCCACTCATTCTTGTGATAGAAATCCATTCTAATGTTGGGAATTGCATGTACATGTCTCCTAATTCCATGGTGCATTGTTTTGAGTTATCCTGGGATTATGACCTGAGACTAAAGTTGCTCAAGACCCTTCTATAAAATACGTTTGACATAAAAGCAACAACTTACATTTATATAGCGTCCCTCACGCAGGGTAATATCCCAGAGTGCTTGACAGTAGTGGAGAATGACACCGAGTGGGGAGGTGACTGTGGGCACGGTCAAAAAGGAAGGTCTTCAGGCGTGATCTGAAGATGTGGGAAGGAAGAGGCAAGCAAGGCAGAGGGTTAGAGGAAGAGTGTTCCAGATTTTCGTAAAACAAAGTTTTTTTTGGGTTATAATTGTTAGGTGGAACATTGTTCTGTATTTTTAGAATCTAATTTGTATTTATAGGCTGAAGTTATTTGAACTGGTGAATCATAACTGTTTACGGGACATTGCTGTGTGTAGTTGGGCTGCCGTGCTCACCTACAAAATACACAGCCACTCTTTGCAGTAAATCCCGTGAAGCGGTTTGGGACGTCATCCCGACGTGAAGGCTCTGCACCAAATGCAAGATGATCATTTGAATCTGTCTATACGTGTCATGAATTGGCTTATGTGAGGAATGGATATAAAATACAGTGAGGTTTGTCTTAATGATTACCTTTGTGTTGGGCCCCTATTTCTCCAGTCCAACCTCAGGTGCTCAGTCAGCAGCATGAAGTGTTGTGAGATATCCTCTCGATGCAAAGGATACTACATACATGCATATTGTAATGTAATCTATTAATATTTTAGATAATCCTAAAGCTAAATTAATTTCTCTGTTAAGCTGTACTTGGGCTGGTGCCATACCACTATTTCCTTGTTAGAATTCCTATAGTGCAATATATAGCACTACTGATGCTGGCCTGACTTCAACTATGCTGATCTTTTTAAGACTTCCAAGAGATGTTTCTTCTTGCTGTTGTAGTATAGCTGCAGGCTTAATGTCCATCTACGTATGTAGGTATAATTTCAGTCATTATGTTGCACTCCTGAAATTGGAGACGATACAGCAAGGGTAACTATATTCGGCATTTTAGTTATAAAGATAGGCTATTATAGGTTCACACTGGAGAAAAGAATGCTCAGGAGTATTTAAATATCAAAAGGTTCTGCAGCATGTTGATAACAGTATAAACCCAAATATTTAACATCGAAACAAATTATAAGAAGGGAGCAAAAATTTGAGCTTGGAAGAGTTAACTGCATTACACAAAAGTTTATGCAACGCATTATGTAGTGAGAGATGATAGTGTGTGAATTTTTTTTTCTGCTGAGGGACTGGCCAGATGGGCTGCAAAGGCCATTTCCAACTCTGTGCATACCTAAGTACCTTTTATTTTTAACCACTATTGAGTTCATTTCTGATTGAGTGCAGACTGGTAAGGTGTTCCATGTATTTTATTGCATACAACTATAGTTTCAGCAAAATGTTGTGATCAATCTGTAGAGCTTGTGCACCATTGTAAAAGTGCTGTACGTACGTCTTGTACTGAAACTGTTCAGTAGCGGTTTAAGACTATTTCAGATGCAATTGGAACATGTTTACAATTTCTGGCTAAACCTGAATCTCTATCTCTTTCTAATCTTGTTTGTAAGCACGCCAATTAGCTGGGCTATTTTTGGTAATGCTTTATGATTCGTTCATCCGGTACCTTTTTAGATGGCTGTATGACCGAAGCAATGCAAAGAATTGTAAATTTGCATAAAGAGGGGAATAGTAGAATAATATACATTAATGCAATCTTTGCTCTTTTCCCACGACATACATTATTTTGGTTGTATTGAATTATGCAAGAAACATATTTAATAATAATAATAATCCTTGCATTTGATGTAATACAAGAATTATATCAAAGGCAAGGATTGAGTTTTGCCCGCAAAATATTCATTCAATTCACTTTACAGTATATTCTTTGAAGCGCTTTGAGACGTCTCGAAGACATGAAAAGCAATATATCAAATGCAAGGATTATTTAAATAGCACCTTATCACATCGTTGAGATGACTCGAAGCACTTCACAGAATATACTGTAAAGTGGATTGACTGTATATTTTGTAGTTTCATTTTGCACATAATTTTAGTTTCTAAAATTTACAAATAAAATGACAAGGCACATAAATAACAGTATTTCCCAAATAAGATTATTTTAATAGATAAAAATGAGCCACTTATTTGAGAGCTTGACCAAGTTTTGTTCTGTAGTGTTGCTTTAACCCTTTACCAAAATGCCATTAATGAATTATTGTTGATTTGTTTTACTAATTTTATTTGATAAATAATGTCTTAGTTGAAAAGTCGTATCTCAGTCTCCACTATAATAGTTCAGTTCATGAAGTGCTACAGTTGCATCTCAATAACCCATCATCTGTTTTGCTAACAAATATGCTTGGATCAGGATTTTTATAAACTACAGATAAAAAAGCCAGTTTCTGAATTTTTGGGTGAAAGATCCTTTTGCTGTAATTATTCATTCTGCAAATTGGTGTAAACAGAAACTGACAATGCTAAACAAGAACATATTTTACACAAACACAAATTAGATTTCTGAATTGCACTGATGACATTTGGTAATCGTTTAACCTTTCTAATGTGCACGTTAGAATATAATTTTGGGGCACCATTATATGGAACTCTGTACAATGGGAGTGAATCTGAAGAGATTTGCTATAACAACAAAAACAACTTGGATTTATATAGCGCCCTTCAAGCGGGGGAGTGCTTCGCAGTGGCGGAGTTTGGCACCGGGTTGACAAAATGCTCTGTTTGCATTCAGTGCTTTGATCTAATATAAGTTTGTTAGAATAGAATGAAAAATGAGTCTCAGAAGGTTAGAGCTAATTTTTCAGTGAAATCCTCGGAATTTCTTTCCATAATTTGTATCTTGTTTTTTTTGAACCTATGAATGAGAATCATGCCAGCTTGGGTAATTAACTTCTACCAGATATATAATTTTGTCTTTGCTGTTCCCAAACCTGTATTGGGAGAAAGGTTTGCTGGGAAAAGAGAGTGAGAAAATGCAGCGGCATATGGCTGGAACATGCTTTCTCCACACCATACATATGTAACCCTTTTTGTCTGAGAGGTTAGCTTATATCAAACTGTTCAAATGATTTTTAAAAAGAAAATCAATGTTTATTTATTTTTTGTTTTCTTTGCAGTTTTGTCAACCCGGTGGCTGGCAGCTGTCCAGTGAGCGAAAGCAGCCGACGTATTTTGTGGTAGTTCTGACCGACATCGACTCAGATCGTCACTACTGTGCATGTCTAACTTTTTATGAGGCTGAGATTAATTTACAAGTAAGTACAATATAAAGCACGTACATGATTACAACTTTACTAGCTTTAAGCAATTTCACTGTTTAATTTATATTATGCTCTGCTAAAAGCACTGTGAGGGAATGAACTCCCCGCCACACCCAAGATTATTTCTACCTTAGAGTGTCGCAGTTATTCAGCTAATTGTGGAAATGTATGCAGTGCTGAAGAACTCCTAGTTAATTGGGGAAGTGTACCAGCAATGGAAACCCAACAAGAGGAGCAGGTCAGGTTTGCCAACGCAAGTCACTGGAGTAATGAGAATGAGAAAGTCTTAAGACCTATCTTTTCAATGGTGCTTTTGGTCCCCTTTCCCTCCCATCTCCAGCTCGGGCTCCTACTCAGCAGTATGAAGCATCCTGTCAATGTTAAAAGCACGATATGAATGTCAATTATTGTACGTAGATTTCAGGCACAGTTAAGTGCAAGAGAAAATCTGAAGATAGTTTGTATTTTTAATGTTCATAAATATGACCATTTAGAATAAATAGTCTGACATCAAACTTTAGTTATGCTTAATTTGCTGTGTACCCTTCTTAAACCCAGAACATGAGAGCAGATTGATTGCAGATTTCTTGGAATTAATTAGTGAGTTTAATGTCTAATATGACAACTGCTGCAACAGTAACAATATAACAGTGCAGCCCTAGGACCGACCTTCTAATGAGGGAACTCTGAAATTTAAATGGATAAAAATTAATTGACGTTATGAATCAAAGGTAAAGGATATATTTTCATTTTCTGTTTCCACTGATTAAACATTTTTTTTAAATAAAATGAAATTGTCTTTCATTTTAAAACCTTTAGAGGTATGGGTATATTGTAAGGTAGCAAGAGAGTTTTGGATCAATAGAAAACGGACAACGAAAGTAAGTCAGTTGACGTTCCTATGTGAACCATGGATTGCATCTTTGAGAGAAGGTAATTTTTTTGTATCTTGTACGATAAAATTATTATTCTCAACACAATTTATAATTTTATTTGCCAGTACCTTGAACTTCAAAATACTGTACATCAAAACCACTTCTAATGTTTTATTAGAAGATGGAAAATGATTCATACAGAAATCTGTGAATACAGCAATGTCTGTTCCCAAATGATGATTCACCGGCAGCTGATTCTTTATGGTAGCACAAGTCTTTGACCTGATCTTATTGTTTTAAAATGTTCATCAAGAATAGTACGGAAGAATCATTTATGAGTAATTTTTAACAACATGGAATGACGCACATCGAAGAGCGAAAATGCAAATCAAACAAATTTGCATTTCCACTGAGGATCTACAATATAGAGAAATTGTCAACCAAAACAGATTTTTTGTTTATCCTTTTGTCAGTGCTTATATTGTCTTCAGAACTTATTTGTAGACCATTTCTGCAGACAATATTTTGCAGCTGAGTTTATCTCACATCACTAGAATTAATCTACTCAAATTTTAGTTTTCTTCCAAGAACCCGGTTCCCAATCAAAAATGTTGTTGTTGATCATTATGACTGAAGTGTGCACAAAAGGCTGTATCTACAACTGTAAATCTTTGGCTGATGACTTTGCCTCAATTATTTCTGGATGAAATGCCAAAAAAGAATTTAGGATTTTAATGTTGCAACTCGTTTATCAGCTATCTGATTTTTCCTCTTGCACAGTTGCCATTGAATTTTTTAAGGTCCCTTTAACCTTATAGATAGCTTTCATTTCCTTCTCTTGCTCGATGGTCAATCCAATAGGTTTTGTTAAACATGCAGAGTTCGAGGTTCTTCTGTGCAGATATGACAATTATGAATTATTAAGATAAAGAATGTGTATAAATTCCACTCTAATGACTAAATAGCCCGACAGACTCTATCGTTGTTACCAGTTGTCTGAAGAAACAGGAAGTTTTGCGTAAACAGTCAATGGAGCCATCTACAACCAAATTACGAGAAAATTGCAACTTTGAAGGGATGTATTTCAAAATATCACTTTATGATGATCATAATCTTTGAAAAATGTATCCAAATTATAAACCATTCAAACCAGTATTAAATAAAGAGAACTAAAAGTTTGCTGGTCTTCCACTTATAGGTAAGGTAATAATCCTTCCACATTCAAATTCAGCAAGAACAGATTAATTGTTTATTCTTATTGCTATTTGTGGGATGCTGCTGGTAAAGATTAGCAGCTGTGTTTACATAACAGTCACTTCACTTCAAAATACATCATCGTGTGAAATGTCTTGAGTTTTCCCGTAAGCATTATTTAAATTGTTGTTCATCTGTCTTTGTATTCTAATGTTTCATACCCACTTTAGCTAGTTAAATTGACAAGATATGTTCTGTTTTGTCGCACATCCCATTAACATCATACAAACTGGCAGATTTTTATGGGTTTCTAGTGATAAGGAAGTCATGATGTCAAATTCTTGGTGTGTACAATGTTAGTACATAGCTCTCATGAACAATTAAGTACATTTGATTACAGTTAAAAATGCTTCCTTATCACTATGTAACTCATTGGTGTAAATGTATAGGGATTAGATTGGAGTTAATCCAGACAATTATAGATCTGGAAAATTAAATACACTGTAGTCCTGTAGGAAATACCAACAGTTTGAGTAGACAATTGTGGATTGATACCTCATAATTTCATGTGATTTCTATTTTAGAACTAATCAAACTGATGTTCTTAGTGTGGGGTCAGGGATTTTAGTAGCCATTGTGAAAGGACGTAATTATCCCAACTAGGATCTGGATTATATTAGAACTCAATTTAATACATATTAAATCACTGCAATGGTGAACCTGTGGAACAGGCTGCCGAGGGAGACAGTTGAAGCAGGAAATGTTGATTCTTTCAAACACAGATTAGTTTTCTTTTAGGAAATGACATTATGGGATATAGTACGTAGGTAGTTTGGGACATTTGTGCATGCAACCCCCACCCAAGAAGGTGGAAGGCAAACTAGATGGACCTTGGTCTTTTTTCGTCAAGCATTTCTTATTTTCATATGTTCAATGGAATCTTGATTATGAACATCTCTGATTTTTGCCACTCTCCACTCACCTGCCCAGCTATAGCTCTGAAATCATTTTCATCCTGATATCACTCACGTTATGCCCACAAACTTCAATCTAAGGTGTGAAGCAAACTGATCAGGTTGTGTGACTTCTTAGGAAAATCTAAATCAGCCCATCTTTGTGTTCAGCAAAAAGCTGGCATATGAATTCTTGCATCTGAATTCTTCGGAATATCATTCACTTTCCAAATAATGGCAGCTGATAACATAGATAATTTTCTCTTTGTTTAAATACCATCTATATTATTATCAACAAATACTCTCTCTCGTTAATGTGCTGTATAATTTCTACTATTGAAAGGATATAAGAAAATTAACTGATTCACAGTAAGGACTTGCATGGGTGTTTCTAACTGAGTGGGTTTAAATTTATTTTAAACAGTCTATTTATTATTTCAATAATAATGATGCTTGTATTTGATGTAGAACCTTAGCATGAAATGTCTCAAAGTAGTACACGTAGTGAGTTACGTTGCAGGATAGTAACCCATAATTTTGTAGCAAGATCACAAGTTATTCAATAAAAATATTTTTTAACTTTTATGTAGGGGATTGAGACAGTGTTGATTTTTACTGGCACCAGGAACTGTTTGTAGTAAGAGGTTTGATAAACATATTTCATAAGAAATGAATTTCATCATTAAAAAAAACAACCAAAATAGCCAGAAATAAATTAATTTGACTATTTGAACCGTAGATTGATGTTTAATGTAAGTTATGTAATAAAAATTCTTGTGGAAAGTTGTCAATTCCTGAAGGTCAAACTGTACACTCTGAAGGAATAAAAAATTATTCCAGGATGGCTGATAACTCAATGTTGCAGCATTTATTTCCCAACCAGATGGTTTCAAGTTTACATTGGTTGAACTTGGGACTTTCTCAGGCATTGGGGGAACTGCTGGCAAGACAGTATCATAATAGGGATAATTTTGCTCAAAGGAAGAAAAGACTGATGCTACTTGTTATTACTGCTTCCATAAAATTCACTCCTGAAGTGTTTGTATTGTTAGAATGAAATCCTTTTTGATTCTGGTATTCGAGACATGAGCCGGTCACACAATTATCTCTTGAATCATATTTAAAAACATTCCATTGAAAGTTCCCGAGTTCTACAGTGGGCTGCCACACCTCCGAGCGATCAGCAGGGATGGTATATGATGGTATATGAACTGCATCATCTCTGAATACTGTGCTATAATATTCAATCAAGTGAAATTTATTTTAATTGTAAGTATAGTAGTGCTTTTAAGAAATTAAATATTATAATATTTAGAGATGGTGTTGTCCAACATCATCCCCCCCACCCCATCTATTGAGGAAAAAATGAAGCAGGCCAGTAGGTGGCAGCAGAATTTCCATTATCGTTGTGTTCCCTGAAGAACTGCAATTTATTAGTGTTTTAGGAAAGATTTTGGAAGGCAGGAGTAACACCTCAAAAAGATCAGTAATAATGTTTCTCTTCATTTCTAATATTTTTGTATGTGGGAATTGATGAAACTTTATGATTGTAAATATATTCAAAACTTTAGATGCATCTGTCACTACAATTTAATTTTTTAAAACTTCGATATTCTTTTCAATTTCCTGGACTAAGAAAACTTTTGTTGCCCCAATAATGAATAAAACATGTTTAATTGTTCTTCCCTTTCTCTTACCATCCCTCAACCCTCCCCGTCCACGACTCACAAACCATTACTTCTGTGTGTCAATTTAGCCATTATCTACGCTACGCTTGCTCCATTGTATATAATGCTGTGCAAACAAGTAGCTGGCCGTGACAGATGTTACCAACAAGAGAGAAGAAAAAAACTGCATGTAATCATTATTCTCATTTGCCTGGTTACAAGAGAACTCATTTTCTTGAGCATCTGGTAACCTCTCACCAGGTTGTTCCCTATTCTCGATAAAACAAGAAAATGTGGCGTCCTGTAGCTTTGGGGTTAGTGCGCCCACCTCGCAAGTGAGAAGACCCAGGTTCAGTTGCCGGGTGGGGCAAAACCTTAGACAAGTTTTCTTACTCCACACACATGCCTCTGTTTACCAAGCAGTAAGTAGGAACCCACTTGTTAGTATATTGCTGGATGACTTTCCGGAAGTAATAATCCCATCCAAGATTTGGTCACTCAATTCACGACTGTTTGGCTGCTGCATTTCATACACAAAATATATAGTCAATTCACTTTTCAGTATATTCTGTGAAGCGCTTTGAGACGTGATAAGATGCTATATCAAATGCAAAGATTATTATTTTAGTTGAGGATTGATTCTCTGTATGCTGGAAAATTTACTGTGCTGTGTGTGCATATAATGGGAAACCCATGTATTGTTAAAGTTTGCTAAATATAGCAGCACACTAGGTTTGCCCCTAAAAATTTTTAACACTGAAAGTAAAGAAATCTTTATAATGCTTTCTTTGTTTTCTTCCTATGAGTTGCTGCTCTCAGGCACACCTGAATCTTTGGTTTGGAGGGTTTTGATTGTAAGTTTCTTTGCAGCTGCCCTCAGTACTGTTTCATGATCAATCAATCGAATGCATCAAGCAGGTACACAGGATGAATTCTGATTGCTCCCCTCATTCCCAAAGGACTTTGTGATGTTCCATCTAAAAAAAAATTACTAATGAAAGTTCACCAACTTAACTGAACCAAATTAACTGAAATGACCACAAGTATCAGTGAAAATTCTTAAGTGACTGGCTTCTGTTTGCAAATAGAGTAATTAAGTGGTGAAGTTATTGTACCACCAAAGAAAATAAACTGTTGAAAGAAAAAGAATGAGTCTCCAAAGGCCAGAAGCTCATGTTTCTCCTGACTTTGTTTTGAAAGATGTCATGGGCAATAAATAGACTATTGAATGAAAGAGACACGTTTGAAAAATAAATAAATATTTGGATCATCAGACAGGCACTATGTGATATGATTCAAGAAAGACCTAATAGCGAACCAATTCATCATCTTTAGTTTCTCCCTGAAATTGTTCACTGTTGCTGTTGTACATTTAGTTTTGTAATCATTTCTTAAAATTATTAGAAATAAATGCAAAGAACAATATTTTGTATCTTAATATTATAACTCATCAAAATGCACTATTTCTTTTGTTATTATGTGAGGCTGTCCAGTAACAGTTGACTAAATTATTACCTGGATTGAAGGGGCTTAATTATGATAATGAAAAGATGAGTAGATTGGGGTTATATTACAATAATAATCCTTGCATTTGATATAACACTTTAGGAATCAGGTGAAATAAGGAAACTTTCCTAACGTTTTGCCCTGCCCGGGAATCAAACCCAGACCCTCTTGCTTGTGAGGCAAGTGCTCTAATCACTAAGTTACAGGACTCCACATGAATTCCGAGGAGGTTAAGGAGTGATTTGATTGAGTTATTAAATGATGATAGGATTTGACAGGTTAGGCCATGGACAACGCTTGTTTCTGATAAGGGGCATAGCATTAAGATCAGAACTAAGATGTAGGACTGAGGTCAGGGTGTTCCTCACTCAGAGGGTTAAGAAGATATGGAATACTCTGTCCCAGAAAGTTATAGAGGTGGAATCCTTCAGGATGTTTGGCAGTTAGAGGTATTAAAGGATATGGTGAATGAATTGGATTCTATTGGAATAACCATTGGATTAAAAGATCTTCTAAGATCTTGTAAACTGATGCATAAGGCTCAATGGCCTCCTCCTGTTTTCCTATGTGACTTAATTTGAAATATGTGTTGTTTAGTAGATATGTCACACAGGCTGTTTTTGTTGCCTTTTAATCTATGATGGAACCATTGTTGAAAACTTGATAAATAATAACCGAGTGTGCGATACTGACCAGTATAGTCTTTGTTAATGGTGTGAAATCTTTGCTTACGTGCTTTCTTGCTTCCTTTAGCAGGAATTTTGAATTGCACAAGGGAAGTTGACAANTTTTTGTACCAGGTTCCCATGTGAATGAATTGCTCTGATTATTCTCTCACCAATGGATGAATTAGGACTGTCAAAAAGTAGAAAGCATAATTCATATTGCAGATCCGATTTGAACATATTTATTTTATTTGGGAGAGGAGAATAAATGGCCACTGAGTTGCCACAACCAGCCAGCTCAGGAAAACCAACTGGGCCAATTAGTAGCTGGCTGGGTGACAACCCTCAGGAGTAGTGACTTCTAGAACTCTTTAACTTGTGATTTTGAGACTCATGATTTATGAGATTTTGTCTGCATTTAAAGAGCTAGCCTTCACTTACGAGAAGTTTTCTTTCATTTCTAGATGTACAGGTTTAGATTATTTGGACTGGGCTAGCCTGGACATTCTATGATGGTTTTCACATTGAAAGATTTAGAGGCAAGAACAACAATTTAACATGATTGTAATTTGTAGAATCTCGGTAAAATTGTTCAGCATAATATGATACAATAAGTGAAAAGACCCTAAATACATTGAGAGAAGGGTTTAACCAACATTTTTTCTAATTTGCTAATTTTTGACCAAAAAAGTGTAATGGGGGTAAATTGTCTGAGGTGCACCACTTTGTCATTTATTATGTAATTTATTAGAAGAATTTTTTATGAATAAATTCTGCCATTTTGAATATAAATTGCAGAGCTTGTGTACTGTCTATATGCTCTGGAAGTCTTGCCTTGCTCTTGTTCACATTTTATTGAGAGCTCATCTCAGTACTTCCTTCGCTGTCAGCTTTGAGCAGTGTAATTGGCCATTTTTCACCACTGAGAAACTGCATAATTGACTAAGTTGCTTATGCTCAGTGAACAAAATGCCAGGTTTTGCTATCGACTACATGGTTGTGGTTTGCTTCTGTTCCAATTGTGCAGTGCTATGCATTAGGTCAGTGTGAAAAGTTTTGCCTAGTGTTGATCTTAAAGACATAGCAGGAAAAAAGCTGGTGCCTTGGATTCGTAAACAGAAAATGAGTTGACTGTTTTCTTTCTGGCTTTAAAACTTAATGCCAATAAATGCAAGATGATGATATGTCTTTTTGGAGTTTTTTCCCTGCATTAATTTTCTAATAATCTATTTTTACCTTTATACTACAGGGAGCTAAACATAGGGAAACTGAAGGTGAAGAGGATACGGGACTAATCCAACCTGCCCAGTTTTTCGCACCAAAAAGTTTGGTTCTGGTATCCCGATTGGATTATCCAGAAATATTCAGGGTAAAATTGCTTTTATTATGAGTTTTAAAACGGTAGTTTAAGTGTAATTTTCTAAATGCTCTTGAGGTTAACCTCTAATTATTCTACTTGTGTCTTTCAAGACTGCACTATAAGTCAGTGTTTTGCATGATGTGCAGTGAACCATGGTTGGGGTCAGCTGGCAGCAATTTGTTGTGGTAATAGTTGTCTGGAAAGGTAAAAGAACACAAAGTATGATATAAATTAATAACTATTGATTAATTCTTCTTTTAAGATGAAACCATCAGTAATGATTGTAGCATTATTATTATTTATCATTTCATTGAACGATATATTGAACCTGATTCTGTTAGGAAACTGTTTCCCAAGATAATTATTAACTCACGACACTTGATCTGTGATGTAAATTTAGCTCACTTAACTGTTTGACTTAGAAGAAAGGGAATAATGCTGCCATCAACTGGTACAGCTCCTAAGGTTTTTGGTGGAGGTAGCCATTGTCACGAGAATGCAGAGAATATCAAGCGTTGCTTATGGCCAATAATCTGTCTAGTTCAGGGAGTCTTTAATTAAATCAGAAGAAACCAAGTGAAAAACATTATTTTTCCATGTATTCAATTGAGCTAGAATTACCATCCAAATTGTTGACATTGTTACCAAAATATTAGAGTTTCAAGGCCATAGTGAATGGTCAACAACAAATTGCATTTACCTATATATAGCGCTTCACATTGCATAGTGCCTTGGAGCAACGAATGGAAGAGTCAATATGGATTAAGAAACAAAAAATTACGTCTCATTTATCTACCTGAATTATTTGAAGAGCTACCTGAGTGGAGGAGGACTAAATGGTCACTTGAATTTTCAGTCAATATATGATTAAGACTCATAAAATTAATAGAAAATTTGCTTAAGTGTTGAATACTAATATGGTAGTAAAAATAGAGAATGTTCTACAGGGATCTACAGGAAGTAGAGAGTTCTACAGGGATCTTTCCTTGGCCTTCTGTTTTTTACACTATTCTTGAATGATGAGAGAAACTACTACAGCAAGCAGGAATATGGTCTACACAGCAAAATAACATATTGAAAAGTATTTTACAGCTCACGACATATCTTGTCGCTGGATCTCAAGTTGTTACTAAGAAGCTGTTTTTTGAAGTTAGCATATCTGGAAGTTAAACTATGTTCCCTTTTCCTAGGCATGCCTTGGCCTCATTTACACAGTGTATGTTGACAGTCTCAATTTTAACTTGGAAAATGTGATTGCCAGCATTTTTACATGTTTGGTGCCAGTTGCTGGAGGTTCTAAGGTAAGGAGAATGTTGTTATTGTAAATAATTAAGTGACAAAACAAATATTTCTGTTTATTTAGCCAACAATTCAGTTGACTAGACTTTATGGATTTTAAATTTAGATCAGTAATTTAAGGAGTGTATATATATGTACGTGTGTGTGTGTATATATACAAAATATATGTATTGTTTTGTGGATATTTGCAAATGATCTCAAGGCTACCTGTCTCCTCCTTACAAAGAATGACTGATCCTGCAGAGCAAGTGCAGTTCTTTCATCTCTAAATATTAAGAGAGAAAGATTCCTTTATGTTAAGTGTATCCGATTTGACGATCTGCACTTATAATGGATTTTCTTATTCTTGAATGTGCATTATCAAAGCTATACTTAGTGGCAAAAGAAATGTCTCTCCTTCAGAGTACAGTGAATTACCATAATATAATAGAAGGTTATTAAATGTTTCAATATAAACAAAAGCTAATGATACATTTTATTAGAGAAACATTCAAAAGAGCAGTATTTTTATAGTTGGTTTCATAGATCACTAAACTTGCTTTGTTCTTGTGTCCTGTGTTTTTTAAAAAGTTGCCAGATTAAACAAATATACATAGTTTAAATGCAATCTAGGCTAATAATATGTATAACCAACCGTCTCCTCTCTTGGGTGGAAGGCTTCTTTATGAAATAAGTATAGGGCCTTCGGTATAAAACTGCTTAGATTCGGGTACAAATTTGCAGTTTTGCTTAAGTTTTCTATGTCCCTTCTCCGTTCTTTTCCCTTCATAATTCACCTTGATAAGTGAAACGTTCACAAAAAAAATAAAAAGCATTTTAAAATAAGTTTTAAATGTAATAACCCCTTTGGGCTCTTAGCTTCTGATTTGTGTTCTGACTAGGATGGTGCTGCCTAGATTCCTGTGTGCTCTGAAAAGCTGAATGCAGCCAAAGAAAATAGTGCTTTGCAAATTGTGGTGCAGTTTGCTACATTTAAGTGCCTTTTAAGTGCTCTGTATTTAGTTATTTACATTTAATTTGCAAAATGCTGTATTAAAACAAATTTACATTAAAAAACCATAATACAATTGAGCAAGTAAAACATTTTCTAGCTTGCCTCCCAATTCTAAAAAGTTTACAGTTGTTTATTGAAAGTCAACTCTGAATAACTAAACATTACTTTAAGTAAAATACTTTTTAAAATAACAAAGTATTATTTTAATACCTTTGCATTTGCAAAATGTGTGCTTCTTTAAAAAAGAAACATGAAATCTGTTTAAAAAAAAAGAAAAAAAAAACTCAAACCTGGCAAAAGAGCACTTGGAGGCAATCCTCGCTACTACAGAGCCATTGGTGCCTGAATTCAGTCTCCTAACAGGAACTTATGACATGAATTCTGTCCTGACATAATTGTGCCACCCAACTCAAATACATTTGAAAAGATGTGTCATTGCAGAGAACAAATTCTAGAAGCAGACAAAATGCTCCCTGTGAGTGAGGCAAATTTATTGCTAGTTTTTAGAACAACAAATGTTCACTCCCCTCATTTTTTTGTTCCTCACCCTGAGGTACTAATGCACGTATACTTGCCGGTAACTCTCCAGTACCTCGTACAAGTAGCAATTGTTCTTGCGGGAACATAGAATGAGTGTTCGCAAACTTTTCAACTCGGGTTGGGCGTGGAGTGATCATGTTCTTGTATGATAATAAATGGCCTTTCATTTCTATACAGCTGAGTTTCAAAATATATACTAACTGAGACATGAGGAGAGTTCCTTGAAAAAAAATTGTTTCAGTGATGGTGGGAAAATAGGTGGGAGACCTGTGTCGTGATCAAATTCACACAAGACTAATTAAACAAAAATTGGAGCTGTTTCTTTTTAAAGCAGTTTCTTCAATTACTCAATGACGGAATGCACCGTGTGGTGTGGCACTGAATCACACCACCACCAGGAGTAATCCATTTTTGGCCTGGGTTAGGATAGCGGTGAGGCACTTCATTTGGTATCTGAAAACCCCACAGACAAGGAATGGATAAATCAGCCAGGCTTTCTGCATGTTGTTTGCAATTATTAACTTCTGCTGGAATTATGCCTTGTGGACACCCGGTGAAGACAGACAAACTCTCAGCTGTGATGCTTCTGATGGTTAAGTAGCATGCTTACAGTTTTTTGGCTTACATGTGAAGAATGGCCACAATGGCGAACCATTGGAAAACTGCTCGCACCGGTGGAACAATATTCAAACATAAATTGCTGCTTTTAGTAGAGGAGATTAGGGTAGAGGATTGAAGCACATTCCACCTGAATATTGTACTATTAGTGTTTACAGTTTAGTAATAACACTACTACTAATAATAATCCTTGCATTTGATGAAGCACCTTATCGCATCTTTGAGATGTCGCAAAGGGATTCACAGGATGTACTGTAATGTGGATTGATTAAGTGTGCATTTTGTGGTGAAGCGCAGCAGCCAGTTGCACACTGCAATGTCCCACAAACAGCCATGGAATGAGTCACCACTTTTATTGGGGGAATTGTTAGCCAGGAAACTGGGAGAAACTCCCTTTTCTTTTCAAATAGTGCCATGGTATCTTTAACATCTACCTGAATAGGCAATTTAGACTTTTGTTTAACATCTCACCCGAAGGACAGCGCCTCGGACGACAATGCAACACCTCCCCCAGCTCTGCATTGGAGTGTCAGCTTTGACTTTGTTGATTCCAAGTCCCAAAGTGGGCCTTGAACCCACTCCTTTCTGACTTGAGGCAAGAGTCCTACTACTATGCCAGGCTGATGCGTTATTTTTAATGTTAGAATGGTAGCTCGATGGCAAGTTCTTGGAACTTTTATTATGAAAAAAATCAGCTACTATTTTCACCCAGTTAGGTTCCGAAATAATTAATCTCAATGTGATTGTGTTATTTGACCTGCAGTTATTTCATGCAATACGATTTATATTCTGAAATGGGACAGTCCTGCAGACTAGTCTTTCTTGTGCAAAATGCAAATCCCCAGATGATGGTGACCTGCATTCATCTCCTTGTCAACAGCTATGCATTCTGTTGGTGAAATGATGTAAACGCAAGAAGAGTATAATCCGATTAATGTAAACTGAAGAACTCTGACTGTGTAGGGATGAAAGAAAACTATTTATAAAATCTTTATGATACAGGTGGTAGGATGCTGAGTGACAGTTGTGTAATGAGACTAAATGTTGCACAACTTTTGGCAGGAAGCCCATGAACATAGCTGCATCACATTAAAGCAGTTATGTATGCCTGAGTACCATAATTCTTCAATGAATGATTACCATTCAAATTATTTTCTTGATTTGCGTGGTTAAGGCATTTATGTGGAGATTAGACCGCTCATGTTACATTGATTTTGTTTTCTTCTCAAGAAAGTAGAAGCCCAGAATATTGAAGCTAACATCAGCACAAGTATGAAATTTGTTTTGAGGGTTTATTTTTTGTTTGAATTTTTGTTTTTTGTCACAAATACTCTTATCCCAATTTCGAACCTTTGATTATTGAGTAGTAAAATATCATTAAGTAATTTGCGCTCATGTTCTCAGATTACATGACTACTGAATAGAATATTGATCAGAGACGCATTAAGCAACTCATTGAGGTAACCAATGGTTTTACTTGGTTTGTTCCTGTGCCTGATATTTGAAATTGGATACGAATGAAACTGATGTTTGAACTCTACAAACATATGCTGTTTGTCAAAGTGGACATGTGTGATGTTCACAATAAGTTACACTTTTGTTTGTGGTGATAGTAGTTTTGAATGCTTTTTGCTCAATTTTTGTGTTTTGTCTTCATTTTTGTTGTTTAATTACTATTTTATGCAGAAGGATGATATCCTTGTGGTAGGCCAACAACTCACCTTTTCAATGTTTTGTGTTGTATCACAACAATGTTCTGTGTGTAAATGCTTGCCCATTGAAGTGTAGCTAGATCTATGGTGTACTTCACTGAAAAAAACAACTACCTGCTCTTGGGCCTTCTGCCACTCTGCCCCCACCCTCTGGAACTCCATCCCGCAGTCCCTCTGCTTCCCCACCCCCTGCATTGCCTCCTTCAAGATCCGTCTCAAGACCCTCCTCTTCGACTGTCACCCTCCTTCCCCCCGCTCTCTACCCTCCCCAATCCCGCCCCCCAGCTCACGTCCGAAACACTTAATGTCCAGCGCCTTGGGACGTCCTCCCGATGCGAAAGGTGCTATACAAATGTAATTTTGTGTTGCTGATGGAACACACTGTATTATCTTCATTGCTTATGACTAATGTGTTCAATTACTTACAACGCTCTCTGACATGGCATTTCTGAAATGTACACCTCTGTCTGCTTCCATCACTCCCTTTCTTCCTGGTTCACTGAGACCTCATCCATGCTTTCATCAGATCCAGGCTTGACTATGCTAATGTCTCATTTGCTGGACTCCCTACTCTTCCCTTTCCAGGCGGCAGTCTATCCAGAACAATGGAACCTGTGTTCTCTCCCACATCAGGCTTTATAACCCATCCTAGAGTTTCTCTCACTCAACCTTGTGCTGGATGTTTTGTTACGTCTCGTAACACCATCTTTTGAACATGCTAAGTAGTCTACAGTATACAACATGCATAAATCTGCTGCGTAGCTACTAGATATTAATATTTAGCTAAATTTATATTAAATGTATTGGATCCAAATTTTAGAAAATTCGCAGTTTTGACAATCAAGATTTGGTACGTGATTGGGAAAACGGTTTTCATTCAATACACAGCTGTACGTGTGACTGTTTCTGATGCATGTCTTAGATTGGAGGAAGAATTTTAATAAATTTAAGGTGGAAAACAAAAATAGGACATTTTCTTTCAGACTTTGAAATGTTTTTCTACTTATAATATCACTTAAGGTAATGATGTTCTGAAACCAAATCTGGTGTACAAGCTTCTAGTTAAGAGTGCTGTTCAGTTTTATTATGTGCTATTTTTGATTTCGACTGCGTAATGCTGAATTGAGTGTTTCAGTCCAGTCAGCTGCTAAGTCTGTCTTCAAGTAGAGAAAATGTTATTTGGGATCAGTAGAATATTATTTTGATTTATTTCTGAAAACCTTTTTCTTGTAGAAATTATTTTCACTGGGAGCAGGCGACCGACAACTGATTCAAACACCTTTGCATGATGGTCTTCCCGTGACAAGTTCAAGTGTGGCTCTTCTTTTTCAACAACTGGGTATGTGCGAATTTTCTTAAAACTTTTTCCAATCAGTTTTTGTTGGTGTAGGATTCTAGCAAATATTTAGTGACACGTATAGTGTGCATATTTACAATGCCATATTTTCAGTGTCAGACACCCACAGCATAATTTAGAGTATTCGATCCTCTAACTTGAAGTCTGCTAACCATTACTCTTGACTAATCTCATGTCTCTGTTATTGTATTGCATTATGGGTTTTGGCCCTTTGCCTCGCTTCTGAATTAAAAATCGGCTTAAGTGTAGCAGAGATAAAGGTTAAATACCTGCTTTTGATGGGAATCCAATTAAACAGGTGAGTGTTAAAATCTTAGTGATAAAATAGAACCAGATGGTAGACTGGATCAAAGAAGTAAATCCTAAATACTAGATGTAGCCACTCGTATCATATAACATAGCCATTCCAAGTTGTCTGTTTATGCAGGTGATAAGTAAATATTAAAACAACTTTTTTTGGCATTGGTTTCTTCTATAAAACAACAGATTTGCATTGCCAGATCTATAGTTAGAATCAGTAGAACACATTGTATCCGCACTAACACACACACATTTTATTTGACTTGCATTTTCTCTTCATAGTTGGTGCTTGATGTTGATTCACACTACACAAAGATTAACTTGAAATATTTGTTGCACATTTATGGTCGAATGCAAGGAAATTCTGGGACAAGTAAAAATTACTAAGTATTTATTAATTTGTTCAATGCTTAATCATATATTAAAGAAAAGAAAATAGCTTGGCAATAACAGTAAAAAAACATCCTCGCAAGTACCAACTACAGTTTTATTTTAAAACATTTTTTAATAGAAACTCTGTTTTGGTTCCCCTAAATACAAAGCTCATACTATGGCAGACAGATCTGTTGACACCAAAAGATTATTAGTCAATTAATTGCATAGAATCTTCCCAATTATTCCCAAAAGTAAAATCCCTGCAAAAATTGAAGCATGTGCTGCATGAAACAACCTTTTTATACTAATCTGCAAACAGAAGTTCAGAATCTACGAAATAAAAGGTGACCAATTATACATTTTTAAAGCTGTCAAACAAATTACAACAAATCTCGCTAAACAGATTATAGTAATTTAAAGCTATTCTTTTTATGATTGTGTGTCTTCATTTTATGATTGTGTGCTGCATTTTATGTGCAACCTGCTTTAACCTTCCTGTAATGTTGTCAGCCAGACAGTAGTTTAAATAGTTTAAATATCAGATTAATCAAAATCACGAAAGCCGTGATTTTTTTCGTGGAGACGCTATAGCTCTCCAGGAGAGATTATTTGTCAAAGATGGCAGCCATGATTGTAGTTGTATCTAAAGCTCATTTCCTCAAACAAAAGAGATCAAGGCTTTGCAACCTTTCTCATTGAGTGATCTTTTAATCCTGGGAATATGCTTAGGGTTTCCCTCTGTAATCCAGCTGTGTCTGCCTCACATCCCTTCTTAATTTTAAATTATCCAAATCAGTTGGCCTCCTTTACTCCTCACCTGCTAAATCTCTTGTCTGTTTTATTTCAAATCCATTTGTTAAGAGATTGAGACAGAACGGGATAATAGGAGGAGTACAAAGAGGTCAATTTCATTGGTGGGAGACAAATTTAGTTTTTATTAACAACTTTAGCAGCTTTATTAACTCGCTGGGATTCTTTACACATGGCTGATATCTGGACAAATTGGTGATGTCTTCTTAGTTTGTCGCAGCATTTTAATTTAAAGGTACTCTTTTTCGGATTTGTTATAAAATAAAAATAATTAGATATAGGATGGTAGAATTTCAATTTGAAAAGGTTGAATTTCTTATATATTGATGTATTTTCAGTTTATTTTCATTCAATCCTGTAGGTGTAATTTGTAACTTCTGTAAAATGGATACTAACATTTTGCGAAATATCATCAACACAGAGTATTTATCCAAACTTGTGTAATTGTGTAAGTACTGGCAAGCGAAATGCTTTCGCATTTGTGCACTTAGCATTCCCAGGTCATGTATAACATAGTCAATTGCAGATTGCCGCCTCAGTATCTGCACGACCCTCAGTCCCTCTACTGCATCATTGTTACTTTTCCATTTCTCACACCAACGATATTTGTGGCATTTTTTGAGTGAGACTTCCAGTTTAATGCCAAATTAGGGGCAGTTTTGTGGTGTGGAGTTATGCCCACTAAGAATTGGATTAAGATGGTGCAAACTCATTTCACATAAGACTCTTACAGCTGGCGTAGAGAGAAGACTTGAATTGTACCAGTTTAGGTTGGATTTAAGCCACTTTGTAGCGGTCGGTGAAAGGACAGTTCCTATGTTATCCTGATCTCAGCACATAGTATTTAAAGACACAATGAATGATGATGTCCAAAGCCTCTTTTAAAGCTTAAAGCAATTACTGAGATGTACAAACCAATCTAGAACATTCAGATATCAGGATACAGTGAACATGCAGCAAATCATTGAGACGCCTCAAAGTGCTTCACAGAATATACTGTAAAGCGGATTGACTGTGTATTTTGTGGGCAAAATATCTTGAGAAGCACAGAAGGGCATTCCAAATGTCATTTTTATTAGCTTTAGATTTGCATCATTTGTCAGTGAGAGGGAACTGCTTTATCTCAATGTCCCCAGTGAGGAATCTCTCTTTTGCACTTGGATAATGGATTTTTTTTTGTCTTCTCCATTAATGTTCCTGTTGGTACAAAAGGATTTTCCACATCTCTGAAATCACAACCAGCCTCCGTGGCCTAGCGTGGTATTCCATATTAATGCTCCAGTATACCAATTCAACCCCAAGTAACTTGGTTTCCCAGGATGGTGGTAGAAAACTATTAAAGTAGAAATATGCATTGTTATGCCTACCTTCTACACCCAAAGAGAAGTTCTTTAAGATGTTTATTCATGATTTTGAATATTGAGGAAAACATGTGAAGATATTTTCTACAGTAAGAAAATTAGATTTTGTCAGTCATGCATCTTGTAGGGTTAATGGTTTGATATACTAGAATGGGTGTTGTTGTTGTACTATCCAGACAAGTTTGAAAGGAAAAGATATAGTGAATAAAACTGGTGGTGGTTTGCAATGTGTGAGAAAAGTAATGTTATCTGCGATTAAACAATACCACATTTCCAGGATGTGCTTTCTGTTGACAGTAGACTGATGTCACATCCATTGTGTAGCCTAGCGATTGTTGACGTCATCCATCTATTTTTGAATACTGAGCCTTTTCAATTGTGTTTTTTGTCCACTTACATGGTAAAGAGTTGTTTTTGTACGTCTGTAGAGATTTACCCATTAAAGAATAATGTATTTATTCATGTGCAAGGAACAGTCATTAAGGTTTTGGAAGCCAAATTTTCTGTGACCTTCAATTACCATTTAGCACTGAAAATAATACTTCTGTATTGCATGAAGTTACATTCTGTTTTCCAGAAGAAGACAATAAATTTTTTGCTTGATCTGCTACATTAATGAACTCCTTTAGAAATATGTGTTTTAATTTTATTTCTCAGACACAGATGCAGTATTTTGTTCCACTGTTCTCACCCGGAAAATCTTTGTGTCTAGTACATGTTGTGCTTCATCCCAAATTATCTATTTATTTGGGCATAAACATGTTTATGGTTGTCATCCTTGCTGGATCAGCTGGCTCTAGGCATAATTCTGATTCGATGGACAGGAGGTTAATGAGGAATGTTAGTGATGTTGGATTTCTCTTTTCCAGATATTATATATGCTCAATATACTTTACAACTATGATAGTGTTTGACATTTATGATCTGTGGTGATATTTAATAAAATTATCGACCTTTTTTATTACACTTTTATTCTGTTGTTCCGGTGCATCCAAAACTATTGCTCTGAGTTTACTTTCACAATCCCATTTAAAATCTTATACAGTAAATTGCATGAGTCTTATTTTTATAAATCGTATCATCACCTAAGTCGTACATTACCCCAAGTCCCATTCAGTTTCCTATCAAAACCACTCAGATTTGTTTGCACCACTCGTGTTAATCACCTCCTGACTCATAATCTTCCACCCTTCATGTGACCGATGGAGGTGCAGGGATGTGCAGCAAACCTGAGTTAACCAAGCAGAAGAGAAGGGTAGTAGATTGAAGAGATAAGGAGGTGCTAGGCTCTGGCGGGGTGAGGACATTGAAATGATTCAGGTGATATTTTACATTCTTTTGTGTGGAACACCAAACCTAAGTTACTCTGGAGACAGAAAAATGACAAATCAATGTCACTTTTATATTGTGATTTCATAAACTCTAGGAACGAGGGGAAAAAATTGCCCTAGTTTGTTTGTGATTGCAAATGTTGTCATTGTGGCATGACTTCCATTATCACTCATGCACCAGATTTGAACTTTGTTTTTTGGAATTGGAAGAGCAGTGTCCTCGTCTGTTGTCTTTCCTCTAACCCTGAGCGTTCTGTTAACATTCTTCTGCCAGAGATTTTTGAGAAATGATGCTCTGTAAAGTAAATGCAGAATCTACAGAGGTCTCTGGAGACGAGGTTAGTTTGGCAGCAGGACAACATTTTTTTCAGTAAACAGAAACTGGTAACATTATATGTTGCCATATTTAGAATAGGAAAAAATAAAGGCTGGATATGATTTTAAGATTTATTTTAAAAAAAGTGGGGGTTTTATCCAAAAGGATTAGTTGAAAAAATATTTATTTTGTATCCTCTGTAGATATACAGTACCATAAATTAATCCAGTGATGCAACATAATAATAATAATCCTTGCGTTTGATATAGCACTTCTAGACATCTCAAAGCGCTTCACAGAATATACTGTAAAGTGAATTGACTATATATTTGTGGGTGAAACATGGCAGCCAATTGTGCACAGCAGTGTCCCACACACAGTCGTGGATTGAAGTGACCAATTTATTAGTGACCAATTTATTAGTGTTTTTTTCTTGAGGGATTATTATCAGGCATGTGGCGTAAGTAAAGTTGCCCGAGGCTTCGGTAT